ATACGGAGGAACGAGCGGAGGTGGAGGGCCGGCGAGGTGGCTCGCTCGGTGCAGGCGAGTAGCTGCGACTTGAGCCGGTCTGGAACGACGATGTGAAGGAAGCGGAGTCGGGGTATGTGGTCGGCTTCTGTGTGATGGGGCTGTGGCTGGTGGAGGGTCGTCGAGGCTCGGGGTCGGCGACGGGTGATGTGGAGCGGGATAGAGGTGGTGAAGCCAGGCGGCTTGTGGGCATGACCTTCATGGACAGGCGCTGTGCCTCGTCGGCCTTGCGTAGCTTGCTGGCTGTGGTAATTGGGAGCAGGTTCGCGACTGAGGCCGAGCGCGGCTGCACCGTTGGGCGATCGACAGGTGAGCGGCAGTCGACCTCAACGACCTTGGGACGACCTGCATTCGCGTACGAGACTAGCACGGCCATGTCGCAGCTCTTTCCCTTGTCCCATCTCGACACAGACATCGTCCTTGCCTTGCACTCCTGCGAGAGGTCGTGGACAACCACGTCATCGTAGTCATATTCTGATTCAGAAGCGGAACCGTCGTCGGCAGTCAGGTCTTCTTCGCTGGAGAGGTATCGCTCCTGGAAAACTCTGCCTTCCTTCTTGGTGGAGGGACTCGATGTTGGTGCAGCGGCGGAGTCTATGCGCAGGGTGTCGGGAGCATCGTCGCACAGGTTGGGGCTCGAGGCGGCACTGTCAGTACTGGAGCGCTGTGGGCGGGCGACAACTTCAGGCTTGGCGAAAGTCCACTGCTTCAATTGCGAAGTCACAGCAACGTCGACCATGATTGCAGAGGGAGAATGTAATTGCACCGGCGTGGCGGATCCGGTGGGTGATATATCGGACTGGCTATCGGACTGGCTATCGGACTGAGCGGCAGCCGGGACGAGTTGAAACCAAGGCGTGCAGGTGCTACGCGCCAATGGTCGGAGACGTGTGCGTGGCTTGGGAGCACCAGGCAAGCCGGCGCTGAGTGAGACTGGCTGTTGCACGGGGTGTTGTGTTGGAGCGTGAGATGTCAGAGGGTCAGGTGTAGGCACTGAGGGGCACTCCAGGGCAGTATGTAGGCGTGGTGTACAGTAGGGTGGGTTGAGAAAGACCGACGCTATATTACGCACATTGGCGAGGGCTGTATATATTGCAGCACTTTCCAAGGCTGCCCACCCCTGGCAGGCGTCGAGGTTTCAAGTACAACCGAGGAGCGAGGGAACCCAAGAGTCAGTTCACCGTGTCGGTGCGCCATTCATCATCTCACGCTGGGCTAGCACAGGCACGCTGCACTGACGCTTGGGGGCTGCATGGCGCAACTCTGCACTGAACTAGCAGATGCGCTCAGGAACCTGATGTGGGTGGCCGGTGTGAGTGGCCCGCAGAGGGTTTCAGACGGCACACCCTCAGCAGCGACACTGCCAGCGAGCGCCTTCAGAGCGCCTGCTGCGAACTCATGGCGTGCACACCCGACTGCTGCCGTTGCAAGAGCCCGTGGGGCGTTGCGATGGCAATGTCACCAGAGGACGGCACGCGTTCAAGATCGCCATCCTTTCATCTTCGCGCGAGGCCGCCTTTTCCCTTTCCAGCGCCCTCGACGGTGACCTGACAGGTGTTCCTGTGCCGCTCAGGGGCAGCACCACTCAGCGCCCGCCGTCGCCCACTGGGGTGTCCACCGTGTGGGGTTGGCCCAGGACCCGGCGACGCCATTGCCGAAAGGATCATCGATAACTGTCACCATGTCTTTTTTTCACTGCCCGCTCTAACCGTTGCTTGCCTTGGTTCAGTAAACCTTGACGGGATGGATGGAGGACCCTTCTTCTGCAAACTCTCCCATGCAGGCCTCCCCGACCCCCAGCTGGACTTGCCTCCGACGCCTGCCGCTGCCCGCCCCCAGCTCCCAGCCCCAGCACGCCCGTCGTCGCACTGCGCTGACGGCACGAGAATGTCTGCCTCGTCACGCCCACGCCTAACTCTGAGCGCATGCAGCGGGCTCCGAATCCACTTGGCATTAGCCCTTCAGGAACACGCTGATCGCCTGGCTCTATTCTCGGTCCAACTGCCATGGCTCCAGTTTACCTGCAGTCTATCTGCAGACCGTGTGCACGGTCGCTGCTTCCCCATTCGTCGCTGCACTTTCTGTAGCCCACACCGCCAACACCACCATCAGGCCTCCCTGGGCCCCGCGCAGCCTATACCTACAGTTCGTCGTGCCGCCCTCTCAATCACAAACCGCAGAAATTTCCATCGAGTCAAGACGTGTCCCGTCATTTGTCTGCGAGGGTCTTCTGATTGCCTGCAGAGTCAGTCACGTCGCCGAATCCAGCCACTAGCATCTGCTCGGCAATCTGTGTAGATTACACTACGCCTCTAGCAGCTTATCGTCGGAGTTTAGGACCGTACTAGTTGGCTGCTCGCAATACCGACATGCTTTGCAGAAGGCTGATCAACGGTTCGTTGGAGTTGCAGTCGCGGCCAGTCATCTCACGAGAGAGCCTCGCTGCCTGCTGTCAGCATATATCGCCCTGGAAGCATCGGACTACCAGTTCCGGACTCTCACTGCAGCATCGCTCGGACCATAGTCCATTCTTAGTCACTACCGCTGACTTCAGTGTGTTCTGTGGTAGCTTTGTGGTAGCCTTGTTGCACCTTAACAGTCCGGCCCCCTAAGCTTGCGTCACAAGGCGCCCCAAAAGGGTCCAATACTCCAACACCAAGGACCATTTCATCGTCTGGTTTCTTTTCATTAGGTTCGCAGCAGTTCAGACGATTGTCCGGTCCACGCCCATACATACCGTCTGGGCCCTGCATGGAGAGAAGCGTGTCTCACACGCAGTGTCTTCGTGTGCAGTGACGCTTGCGCACCCGTTGCCACGCTCAACTGTACCGCGTGGTACCAAACTCGGCCTCGGAAATCTCGTCCTGATCGTCTCAACGTGGTAACGACATTGACTGCTGGCGATACACGCACAGGACCGAAACACCCCTCCACCCGATCTGTTACCGTCATCGCATTGAAGTGGCTTTAAGGGCACGATCGATTCATAATAAGGCCACAGGCAAGCACAAGCTGAGAGACACGGCCCCATCGTAGCAGAGACATGCGTCTCCGTCTGTGATGATGCAATCCAGTTGCCCCTCGACCCTAGCTGGTTCAGACGCTTCCCTAGGAATCCAACACATACACAAATTTTCGGCCCCGTGGAGCCGCACAGGTATTGTCTGATGTAAGGTCTTACTTTGACGCAGCGATCCGCGATCGAGCACCAGTTGGTGTTCCAGCCGTACTACCAACGGAGGTGACAAACCCAAGAATTAGGGAGCACAGGCATCCACACGTTGTGCTGACAGACGACTCGCGGTGCGCCGAATCACGTGGACATTTCTTCATTAATCCTGGTTCATTTGCGACGCCTGCGTATCTGTATTACAGCCGCAACAGTCGCGCCGTCATGCTTGGGAGTGAAGTACTCCGTGGGGGTGTACCGCTAAAATCAGTCGATTGCCAAGTAAGACGGGTCGGAAAAATATCAGTGGAATTTCAGCGATTGACGCTTGTCCATCAACGGCGAGCTACTTCATCTCCACGGCTAACCACGCAATTAATGAGAAGCCGTCAGTCGGGATCGGCGGGCCAACCCAGGAATTTCGCAGCCAACACCCACGGCTAAGCAGAAACCTTCTCGAACATCTGATCATCGGTCGTAATATTGTTCGCACACCACCAGTCAGTGTTTGCTTGGAAGCGAGTTTCACGTATAGTATCCTCGACCGACACCGCGGCATAGCTGTACCGGCTGCCGTGTCTTGACCACCATCGCGGGGTATGCACCAATCAGAACAAGACTCGTGTATGGTGCAAGCAACCACATCTAAGACATGGCGATACCGATATTACAACAGTCGGCAGGGATCGAAGATTAGCCGGTTCATGTATCGCCCGGGTAAGGACAGCAGAAATCCTGGACATTGACGATAGTGCAGACAGATGGAGAATCGAACAGCAACAGCTTGCGACTGGACCTTTATGGCTTGTCGTTAGCAGTCGTGCGGCACTGGAGTCAAGCAGCGCGCTTGGTGACGACTTAAGTATTCACCTATACGGTGCACTCACAGCCATCTCTATGATTCATTACGCAGACGCGCGCACTGGCAACTGCCACGTGCCATCGCACAATTAGTCGCGGTCGCATGGTCAACCGATCATGACCCCGAATGCAAAGTGCTCGCCTTCTGGCCGCTCTATTGGCTTCAGCTCGCGTGCAAGGAGCAACACAGAAGACGCAGACACCCGCAACTCACAAGGCGAACTGGACTGACTGCGCACTACCTACAACCTTACAGTATCATCTCCAGGAACAGCAAAGGAGTTACTGGATCGAGACTGAAATCTACTTCTCAACAGAAACGTCCAGATAAGACCCGATAAGCGACAAAAGCAACAGTGTATAACGAAAAACGTTCGCTTCGGATGTATGCGATCCGTATCCAAGCTTCCCCGCATGACCTCAACCCATCGGCGACATCACCGAGGCAGCAGCAGGGGAAGCGAAAAGCCATGGGCGGTTACATATCAATTGTGCGACGACGAATCTGTACATCGAAAACCCTGAACGTCCACGGCATCCCCTTTTGTACCTGACGGCCAAGGTGCGTTTTCGCAGATCTCATGGATTAAACGTGGAAATCGATGGATTTAAGTTCCTAGCCGCGTACTTGGCGTGTCTTGTTCGAGACTCTCGTACCTTTTGTTTACTGAAAGCGCTCGCATCCCCGCGTGGTAGATGCCGATTGTTGGGGCAGAAGAAGGAAATATGCAACAACAAGCGCTCTGCATGTGACTTTGCAGCGTTGGGACGAGACGTTCATATTACAATGATTATGCCTTTGGATTGACAAGTGTGATACTCGCTCCAACATACACTCGCTTTTTTCTCTTCGTTTCCAGTTCGTTTCGAGTTCACCTTTTTCCTTATATTCGTTCGCGATCAATATACCCGCCCTCTCAACAAGGAGAAGATGGCGACTATGCTCATGCAGACTGAGGTCCAGTACCAGGCACCGGTCATGATGGTGGCGGCAGTGTCTACGCCGCGCAAGCTGTGGGAGCATCCAGATCCGAAGTCTACAGCGATGTGGAAGTTTATTCAGGATGCGAATGCGAAAAGGGGGTTGCAGATGCAGGTATGTTTTGCTTGTGGACTTGGTGATACAGAGGGGGTGCATGTTTGCGTGAAGCATCGTGCGCATCAGGCAGGTTCTTCTGTTTAGTCAAGAGGCCGTTGCCGATGGCATCAGAGGGCAGAACTCGTGCTTCATACTTGAAGCACACGAACGCAAGAACATGAAACTCAACCAGACTCATAGCATGTCACATACCTTCGTTATCGTCTATGATGGAGCCAACAGTTGTCAAAGAAGGTTGAACACCACTAACATGCTCTCTACAGACCTTCCGCGACCTCTACAACTGGAGCGTCGGCCCATCACGCACAGACTTTTGGGAAGACATGTGGCAAACCAGCAATCTTATCTATTCCGGCAACTACACAACCGTCGTCGATACTTCGCTACCGATGGAAACAAATCCGCACTGGTTTCAGGGCACCTATCTCAACTTTGCCGAAAACATCCTCTTCACCGCCGACCCCACCTACCCCGGCGTACGCACGACAACCCACAAGGAAGAAACCAAGATCGCTCTCACAGAAATCCGCGAGGGGAACACAGAGATCCGTCATCTGACATGGGGTGACCTACGACGACGAGTTGGTGTCCTCGCGAATGCGCTGCGGGCTAGAGGAGTCGGAAAGGGGGATCGTGTCGCTGTCATCGCGTCAACGAGTTTCGATACTTTCATTGCGTTCATGGCGACGGTTGCTGTTGGCGGTCTTTTCAGCTCAAGCAGTACGGATATGGGTGCCAAGGGCATTCTCGAACGGTTATTGCAGATTCGACCCAAGTACGTTTTTGTGGATGACTGGACGGTATACAACGGCAAGACCTTCGACCTTCGACCCAAGATTGAGCAGATCATTGCGGGAATGGAGAGTGGGGGTGTTGCAGAGTTCGAGGGTGTTGTTGTGCAGCCTAGGTTTCCTGGAAGACCCGCCGATGTCGCACACCTGGCCAGGACGGTGCGGTTGGATGAGTTTTTGCAAGTGGCCGGAGGAGACAACACATTGACGTTCGAGCGGGTGGCATTCAGGGATCCGTTCCTGATTGTGTACTCTAGTGGAACGACGGGCGTGCCGAAGTGTATCGTGCACTCCACAGGTGGCGTTCTCATCAACGTCGCGAAGGAGAGTATACTGCACAAGGAGATGACGCCTGAAAGCGTCGTTCTACAGTACACAACCGTAAGTCCTCCCCCAACCCAATCTTACCTCCCATCTGACTAATCGTCGCAGACCGGCTGGATAATGTACGTCGTCTCAGTCCAAGTCTGCCTCTTCGGCACCCGCTCCATCCTCTACGACGGCTCGCCCTTCCAACCCACCCCCGAGACCTTCCTCTCCATCCTCGAAGAACAAGGCGTAACCGACTTCGGCACCTCCCCCAAATTCCTTCACGAGCTGCAAAAACGTAACATCACCCCCCGTACCCTCTTCCCCTTCAAGTCCCTCAAAAGCGTAGCAACAACCGGCATGGTCCTCCCCGAAGCGCAATTCGAATGGTTCTACGACACCGGTTTCCCCGCTCACGTCCACCTCCGTAACATCTCCGGCGGCACCGACATCGCAGGGCGCTTCGGTATCGAAAACCCGTTGGAGCCCGTGTACAGTGGCGGTTGTCAGGGCCCGTGCCTAGGCATGAAAGTCCAAGTCTACGACTCCCTCATCGAATCTGGACCTGGGTACGCAGTACCAGATGGCGAACCAGGTGAACTCGTGGCTACGGCGTCCTTCCCCAACCAGCCTGTTTACTTCTACGGCGACGACGCGGCAGGCACACGCTACCAATCTGCGTACTTTACCCGTTTCCCTGGTGTGTGGACACACGGCGATTTCATCCAGATGCATCCCATCACGGGTCAGATCCTCTTCCTCGGCCGCGCAGACGGCGTGCTGAACCCCAGTGGTGTGCGATTTGGCTCTGCGGATATCTACAGCGTTATCGAGACGCACTTTCCGGAGATTGCAGATAGCATCTGTGTTGGGCAACGGAGGCCTGGTGATGCGGATGAGAGTGTCATGCTGTTCCTGAAAATGAACAAAGGGTACGAGTATACGGATGGGTTGGTGGATAGGGTCAAGAGGAAGATTGCTGAGGAGAGGAGTCGGAGACATGTTCCGCGGTTTGTGTTTCAGACTTGGGATATTCCGGTGAGTTTTGCTCTTCCTTCTCTGACGAGTTTCTGAGAGCATGATGCTAACGTATATCACAGACCACAGTGAACCTGAAGAAAGTCGAATTACCCGTCAAGCAAATCGTCTCCGGCAAGAAGATCAAGCCGAGTGGGACGTTGGCAAATCCAGAGAGTCTGAAGTTCTACGAGCAGTTTGCGGATGTCGAGGAGGTGGTCAGGAGGATGGCAATTGAGAGGTTGTCGATGGAGAGGAGGAGATGGAGAAGTAGTACGTTGTAGGTGGTGACTCCGAAGATGATAGATAGCATGTGTGGCGTCCTTGTTTCTTTTCTCTTCTTCCCTTCTTTTTAGATATCTTTTCTCTCCTTGCATCTTTATACCTATAGGCTAGCTCTGTCATGTCGCGATGCATGTGTAGCTTAGCTGTAATACATATCATTTTTTGGGCTTTTCAAGCTTTCAATCAACATCATATCTTGTCGGTCGGACTCCCTAGTCAGGCGGAGACATTGCGGTATCTACACCTCACAGATCTCGGCATCAGCACATGGGCACATTTCAGCACCCCCAAAAGATCAACTGATTATAACCATCTCATTGAAAACCCTGATCTTTAACCACTGAAGAAGAATCTCGGCGCTCCGTACCGCCATGCACTAAATCGGCGCGTGTCTGAAGACTTTTCTTTCGCCAATACGCCGTTGAACGCCCTTGTCATGCCTTCACATCCTCCATCTTTCATCTATCACCCCCAGAACATTGTCGCATCTCCAGCTACATCGTCTCCATATTCCCCCACTGCCGCCTTCCGCTCGTAAAATGCCGTTGTTACTGCGCTGTGTGCGACGCTTAGTTCTTCTCAGCAACCTTGTTCTCTGCGCACCGTTAGCTCTCCGTACCCTCAACATTCCACTCTTTCGAGCTATGTAGATGACCAAAACATACTCTGCTGCGTCAAAAGCAGTCCATAGCGCTTCTTAATCGTAACCCTGTGCCTGCTGTACTTGTCGTCGGGCGAGAAACGGGCCGGGTGCGCGCTCTTGCTGACTTCGCCGTCGATGACCTTTTTCAGCGTGTAGATGCGCTTGGTCGGGTTCGCCGGGTCGGGGATGTACATGAGATGCATGCTAGATTGGGTGTTAGTTTTGCGCTCTTGGATTCGAGGAGGGCTTTTTGTGCTGAAGAGGAGGATGCTGCGCCTGTGGTTGGGGATCGAGGTGGTGCCGGTCGCGCGCCATGTGCAGATACAGCTTCGCGCCGGCTGTAGGAGTGAGACTCACATTCCGGTATATTGAGTATATCACTAAGATTTACAACTAGAAGATAAGATTGGCGGCTGAGCGAATGCGATAGGTGATGTGCGGTTGGGTAGTAGTGTCGCGTAAGGATGTCGCGATAAAGCAGAGCTCGAAATTCCCGTTCGTCGGGCGCGGAGTTTTTTGCGGACCACCGAGCTTTCCATGGTTTGTGCCAAGACCACCACCCACCCCTGCCACTTTCTGGACTCTCTGCTGCAGCTTGTTTGGCTCGTTTGCATTGGTTGGATTGGGGAAACCAGACACATCATCCACTTTTGACTTACGCTTCACACAAGTTACTCTACGCTTGTCGCATATACACGAGATATTGCTGTGGATATGGCGCGCTTCCAAATTCTTCTTGCGGTCCTCGCATCGTTTGTTTGGGGCTCGAGTGCGCAATTCGGCTTCTTCGATCAGATGTTCGGTGGTGGTGGTGGACAGCAGCATCAGGAGCCGCAGAATGTGAGGAGTGATGCTAGTTGGTATCAGGCACAGTACGAAGCCGGTATGTTGCACTTTCCCTCCCCTTACATTACAGCACACCTATATTCCCAGCCTCGTAGCTTTCTACACTACTTCCGTCGCGCATGCGCCTTCTACAATGACAGGACAGAGCGGTACAGATGTCGTTTGCTAACAACCTCTCACAGCACAATGCTCTCACTACCTCTGCCCTGGTACCCTTTCCTGCGTCCATTTCCCGCACCACTGCCCCTGCGCATGGGAGAACGTCGAAGATAAAGTCGAGCTTGGTGACGGTATCGCGATTTGTGGAAGCAAGGGAGGATGGAACACTGGCGAGTTTGGCAGGAAGGTCGAACTGGCCAGGAAGGGCCTGCTATAAGAGGATGATACATTGGTCATGTCATAAGAGAGTGTACGCGTTCGCGGACGGAGACATCATGGCTGGCCATGGAGAGCTCATGTCGAGAGGATACTTTGACATGGGCATAGCTAGCACGGACATGCACGTCGAACGAAAAAGATGAGCGAGAATCTCGGGAATGGACCACCCAGTCCAGGTCATGAATTCGTTGATTCGCAAATATACCAATAACGCCTTTGCTATGCAATGAGTACTCCAACCTTTTCATCTCTTGACGTACTTGTACCGATACGCTTGTTTCCCATCCTTCGCCTCCCTCTCATCATCAATACCAACCTCCTCTCTCCCCCATTGCCTCATCAAGACCTTACCCAGCAACTTCTTTTCTTCCTCCAACTCCCTCACACTCTCCGTCCACTGTCCATCACGCTTGCCCACCACTGTCTTAGCCTTCTCCTTCATAAGCTTACTGAGAAGAGCGGCTAGCTTCTCGTCCATTTGCTGGTTGATAGCAGCGTTTTCAGCAGCTTGATTTGCGAGACGAGTCTCAAGGGCTTCGTTCTCGGAGCGGAGGACTGAAATTTGAGCTTCCAGGCTAGTTATCGTGTCTTGGGACGATGGTGTAGGTGTAGCCTTGAAGGTTTTGTTGTCTTTGCGAAGGGTGGACAGTTCTGATTTGAGGGTCTTGGTTTCCGAGACTTGTTTGCGGATTATGTCGCGGAGGTTTGCAATCTCGGCATCTTTTGCATTTGTCTCGGTTGCGGATGAGGAGATGGTAGTATCGTCGTCTGTATCCTCTTCTGCAAGCTTTGCAATAGCGGCAGCGCGGAGCTTCTCTATCTCGTCTTTGGCTCGCTTCAAGTCTTTGGTAAGACTCCGCTTCTCGCTACGCTCTTGCTCGAGCAGAGCACCGGCTTTGCGTACAGCATCTTCTGCCTTGTCTCGGACATCCTCCATCATGGCCTCGTGCCCTTCCGCCATGTCTTCGTGCTGGTCGCGTAGCTCTTTGAACTTGCTCTCGGCTTCAAGCTTCAGCTCCTTCATCTTGTTGAGCTTCTTCTCAATGTCGTTTACGCGGCGATCTGCCTCCGCGCGAGCATCCTGCAAACGATCATTGGCATCTTCAAGGTCTTGCTCAAAGCGTTCCGCATCAGCTCTGGCCTTGGCACTGTCGCGATGCGCTTCCGAAAGCTGTTGGCGAAGGTTCGTGTTGCCTGTTTCGATGCTCTGTAATCGACCCTGGGCTGTGTTCAGACGTTGCTCAGTCTGTTCTGACGACTCAACAAGATCTGATATCTGTTGCTCCTTCGCGGCAAGGTCGGCTTGAGTAGATCGCAGTTGCGATTGCAACGATCGAATACGTGTTTCGAGCTCAGCTACCTGTGGTTGTCCCTCAGTTGTCATCTTCGTAGTGCCGGACAGCTCAAGTTGCGACTGGGGAGACTCGGGTTCTCTGTCGGCAGCAACAACATGCTGAAGTTCTTCTTCCTTAGCAGCTAAGTCTGCATGCGCAGATCGGAGCTGCGTCTCAAGGGCATTGATACGCGCCCTCAGCTCGCCTGCATGCGGGTCTTGATGTTTATTCGTGTTTGTATTGGCGCGAGCTGCGTCGAGTTGCGACTGGAGATCTCTCATGCGATCTTCGAGGTCAGCTGTACGACGACGTTGCTGGTCCGTTACAGTGAGCTCCCTTCGTGCAGCCTCCAGATCTGACTGCAATGTGCGGAGTCGAGAGTTGAGATCGAGATTTGTATGGAACAATTGTTGTTTAGCTGCCACATCAGCATGCGAGCATTCCACTTCGAACTTCGCCGCTTGTAATTGTCCCTCGAGCTCTGCAATGCGGGCTGTCTGGCGTCGAGCCTGTGTCTCGACAGTGGACCGCATATCATCTCTCCTTCGGGCTTCCTCACGAGCCGTCTTTGCCTCGGACGTGGCCGTTTCGAGGCTTGATTGCAGAGCATCCGCGCGGGCTTGGACCGATGAGAGTTGGTCGGCCAATAAGAGACGTTTCTTCGCAGCATCCTCATCCTCATGTCCAGACTCGTGTAGTTGCGTTTCCTTCAGATCGTGTAGCTCGCGCTCGTGTATTTGGCGCACCTGGACCAGCTCTGCTTGCATCTCTTCCAGCCTCTGGTCTTTGTCTTCCACCTCCTCGGTGAGTTGACGCTTGGCTTGTTCAAGAACCCTTCGCTGCCGTTCGAACTCTTCAAGCATGGTCTCCAACTTTGTGAGGTTCTGGAGGCGCATTTGCTCTCCAAACTCATGCATCCTGGTCTCCAGTGCATCTTCTCGCGCCTTGACCTCGGCATCCGCAGCTGCGCGAGCAGCTTCGTGATCTGCACGTTGCTGCTCCAAGCTCTTCTCCAGACTTGACACCTTCTCCTTGTGCTTGTAGTTGTCGTTTCGTGAGCTCTCGAGCTCGGAGCGGGCATACGAGAGGATCGTCTCAAGTTCGGTGATGCGCGATCTCGAAGTAGACTCTTGCTGCTCCAGCTGATGTTGTAGCTCTGCAATCTTATTGCGCGCCACGTCCTGCTCACTCGTATCGATAATGGCTGAAGTGTGCCGTATAACCGTCTCTCCCGTGGGCTTCCGCGGTGTATCATAGTCCTCGACGGTGGGCTGTAGCGATCGCGCTTTCGGGGGTGACGACCGGGGGACTTGGAGAAAGCTGTGTCTAGGCGCATGTAGCGGTGTTCCTGTGAGCGCGCCCTCCATCTCCGTGTCTGGTAGGTTGCTGAGGAAGCTCCGAACCTTCTCGTCATTCTCCATGGACCTCTCGGAAGCTGGCGAGCTGTGCTGGCGCTCGTTCTTGGTGCCATTCGGGCGCCTGGTAGGAGAGGCTGTGCGAGATGTATTACTTCTCCGCCGCTCCGTGTCCTCCACCACAACTGCCGGTTCACCCACTTCAGTCGCATGTCTGCTTTCGCTCCCGTCTTGTATGGCGTCCATTCGTATTACCGGTCGTTTCGTGTTCGCCTCCTTTCGCGATTTTATCTGGGCCAGCGGTAGATCGGCCGTCATCCAGTAGGTCATGTTCATAGTGAAGTCTTCCGGCCCCTCGATCTCGCTCGTATCCACATGATCGACTGGCGGTTGGTGGCTGTTTTCTAGTTCGGTAGACTCAAAGGTCGAGTTGAGGCCCAGGG